GCCAAAGCATTAAACACAGATCACTTAAATGAGGTGAAATAGTTCATGAAATAGAAACGGTGCAGATGCTCGGCTCTTTGTTTTCGTCCACTGAACGCCCCGCCTCCGTCAGGTTATTCAGCTGTGGCGCTTTCAGAACGTTCAGCCCGTTTACTTCCTTCCTTATGGGCCGGGACTCGATGGAGAACGCCAGAAAACGAAGTCGTAGAGCGAACTTTGCTGGTGGATGGTGCACGGGTAACCTCATGTAGGGACACGGTGTTGGAATAATTTACAGATTTAGGAGTTCATCCCAGGAACAGAGCAGGATGCACAACTCTGGCTCGGTGCAGTACGTCGAAGCAGCCAATCGGCAGCTTATCTGTAATGTAGTAAATGAAGGAAAAGCTCCGGGACACTGAAAGTGGCGGCTCACTTCCTTTGTTTTGCTTTGTGGTTGGTGGAAAACCCAGAGCAGAGATTTGCTGAAGCGACCAGGAAACAACCAGGAGCTGATTAACAACACCAGAGCGGACTTTGTGTTTGTGGTCTGTTTCTGTGGGCTTCAGGCTGTCGTGCCTTTAAAGGCACAATCATCGTTGGTGTGGTTTAACAGTCTTCTGGCTGCCACCACAGAGGAAATCGTCCGTGTTGAGCCTCCTCAACTGCGTGACCGGGATGAGACCGCGTGGTGACACATTACTGATGGTATTAATTGGATTGTTAGGTGTAACCACTCATTAACTGAAGGTTCGTGCAGTTAATGAGTGGTTACAGTCTGACAGGCTGCTTTAACCTTCGATCCCTTCAGTCTTCTCCTCCGGGTCAAAGTTCAGACTGCTGAGTGTGTTTTATGATTCATAATGTCGGGTTGTGCAGAAGAAATCAGATCATTCTGTAAAGTCCCGTAACAACACCTGTCGCTTCACGGTGCTTTATATTGGACGTGAGCCTGTGTGGATCAGAAAGAACGAAACTAAGAGGACGTCCCTCTGACCTCAGAAATGACTGTAAGACCACAATCTCTGCATGCTGGGTTACCTAGCAACACATATTGTTTACACATATTTTAAGGCAGCTGTAACACGAGCCACAGCGAGCTCGATGACACTGATAAATGTACGGCAGGCGGGAGAATAATTATCGCAGGGCTGAACAGGTCAGAGCGGGATGGAGGAGTGGGCGGGTCGCCGTGCAGAGCAGCAGGGCGAAGAATCAGACGGCGTCAGGCCTGAGGAGAAGCGTCAGCGTGCACCATGTGATAACCTTCAAACCCAGGCCGCCAGCAGAACTGAAACCAGCTGTGACCAGCTGTTTGTGCTGTTTGGTCATCATTTTATTCTAATATGAAGTTTAACTTTGTAACCTGTGACGGAAATTAGTCCTGTCTCTCTCTCTGTGTCTCTCTCTCTGT